GTAATAATTAAAGAAAACGTGAACAATCAAAATACATTAGAAAACAAAACGTACACCAGAACATGTTTGACATTAAAAGGCATTTGAACTTCAACAGTTCTTATTATATGCCATTGGCCACTTATGTTATTTGGCAAAATAGACAGGGAAAAAAAATCACAGGAAATGCATATGACTCCAACTGTACTGGCACATTGGCATCTTTCACAGCATTCTCATCCAAAAACAACAACAACAACAACAAAAAACTATAAATTGAAGCTTTGGATGAAACAAAGAGAAACGAAGAATGAAAGCTTTGTTGTCTTTAACAGCTAAAGAGACTTAAGGCTATTTATTCATTTGTTTAGTCAGATTTAAAGGTATAAGGCGTGTAATTTCTGCACACATTACCTAAAAGAACTGCACAAATTCCAGAACAAGCCCCTTGTCTGCAATTGGCCAGATAAACAGATAGCCCCGCCCCACACTCACCCCATTGCTCAAACAGACAGAGCAATGTTTTGATAGCGCCACAGAGCCATAGTGTTAGACTTCAGGGAAATAAATATATGGGAAAAAAATACACATTTGAGCAAAATTGCTACCTTATACTTCATTTGAATTCTCAGCTGTTTGAATTTATACTTTCAATATAACACCTCTCTTCTCAGTACAAATTACTTTCTGTGATCTAAATCAGTCAGTCATAAAGGTCAAAATGGAGATAAGTAAAATCTATCTATAAAAGACAAGACATTTTCCTTGCTAAATCCACTGTTTACCTGTCATAATCTGGCCTGTGGAGGTACAAATGATGTAAAAGAATGACTGGGCCATTGTTGTGGATTTCCAATCTGGTTTGATAAACACTGAAATATAATGGAGCTAAAGAAAAAGCTTTATTCATCCTTGAATAAAATCAGTCTGTCTCCGATGTACCATATTTTGCCAAAGGCTAATCCACGGGGTTTGAGCGCGGACTTGTCATCCAACATTGATACTCTGATTGGCACAACATTTGTACAAACCTGTTATATAACACTGTGTGGCCTCTTTATGTTCCTCTTCTTCCTACTTCCCTATCTTTTCTTGCTCAACTAGGTTTGAGTGTCAGTACTAATTTGGATCAGTGGCTCAACTTTATAAACATTACAAACTTTATAAACATTAGTTATTATAACCTAATGTTTGAGATTCTTATGCTACATTTTTGACACAAAATATTAAAAACGCCAAACAGGCTTATGGCAACTGTTGTACCATTTGGCCTTCACATTTGTTTCAGACAGATTATTAAAGAAACTTTACACAAGGTCACAAAAATAATACTTCAGAGGCAATTTAAAATAAATTAATACGAACTGAAATTAGCAAACATGAGTTATGAAGGAATAAATCCTCAAATTTTCAGCTCAACACAGTGCAGAAATCACAGCAGTGTAGCAGTCATTCAAATAAAAAGACACATGATAGGATGCTAAAACATATCCAACCATGATAAATGATGGATGTGGACTTATTTGTTTTCCAAAACTCACTTATAGTGACTGAAAGCATAAACAAAGACATTGTAGTGCACAAAGAGTTCTGTAGCAGTCTCTGGTGGAACAGCACAACTAGCCATTGGAAAGGACACAAAGCTGGTGAAGATAGTCACCATGTGTCTGTAGTTAAAGTGTAGTTCTTCATCGTCAAGAGAAGTTGAGAGAGAAAAAACGAGGGATCTTCTCTTAAGTACAGAATATCTGTTGATGCAATCGTGCAGCAGTTGTTGCGTATCTCAAACAATGGCACATGCTGTTTGGCAGGAGTCTGACTAGAAAGTCATTAAGACACAGAGAAATCCTTGTTTTACAGTCTCGTGATCCTCAGAGCAAGAGTGAGGTAAACCCAGAGATATTTGTGGGTCCAAAGGCCTGCTCTTCATCCTTTGAGCACCGCTAGCACTGATAGAGTTTCCCCTTTTATTTAAACATGCATAACCTTTAATGGTCCTTAGGTTACTTTGAGTGTGGATCACACACACTCGTACACACTAGGGTGACCAGACAACTACAATAACAATATAGGGATACATGCTCGTGAATACAGTATAAGCACATTTTGGCCTGATTTGATACTTGTTTTAACTCAAAAGGGTCTAAAAACAGATGTCAATTTAATAAACACGGTTATATAAAAAGGCTTGGATATATTTGATCTTTTGGTCACACTACAATGAGTCAAACTTAAACGTTAACTCTCATGGTGTAAATAAAAGCAAACATTTTTAGCTTAAGATTTCTCCATTTAATGTTTTACGATGACTTGTAAAAATGGCAGCCAATAAAATACTAGCATATACTTCTAATTTGTCATAAATGTTTTGTTATTTGTACAATTATTTGTACAAAACTTCTCAATATTGTGAGGACAATGGAACAACTTCTATTAGTGGGTTGAAGCAGGGTTGTAATTGTTATTGTTAAAACTTTTAAATATCTTTTTTGGTTTGAAAGCTAAAATAAAATAAAATGTAAAAATATGAGAAGAAAAACTAAAGAATTTGAGAGAAAATGAGAAATGTTGCCTTGTTATTAATTGAAATAAAACATGTAAAAATTGAAGAACTAAAAAAATTAAAACTAGAACACAAATAAACAGAAATAAATTCAAATAATTTAAAACAATTAAAAAGCAAATAACAAAATTACTTAAACTGAAATTAAAATTAAATCAAGGCTAAATGCTACTTGAAAATATTACTAAAACCAATATTTTGTATGTTGTATGCAAACAGATGTTTAACTAAAGCTAATACTAATTATTAGGAAAAAATGTCATCTTAAATATAACTTTGTCGAGATGTAGGACTCATCGAATCAGGACTATCTGGGCACCCAAACACACACACACACACACACACACACACACACACACACAAAGGTAAAATGCTTATCAAACTTCCTGGCATTTTTATAATGCCCATCCATGTATTCAGGCAAAGAATGGCATGGCAGATAGTCCGGGTGGGCTTTTGGTATTGTGGGTCCACTGGAGTCTTCACGCTCTAGCAGGCTCTATTCCAGACTCCTGTTGCTAAGCGACATGACCCGGAGAATTCAAAGAGGTGCCTGCTGCGGCCCACCGGTCACTGAAATCTTTCAGCTAAATGAGAGCTGATCAGGTCTTGCTAAACTCAAGGTCTCTGTAATCAGGTGGACCTCCATGTCACTGTGCATCTGTGTGAACGGGCACACGTGTTGACACTGACTGAATATGTGATGACTGAATGTGTGGAGGAGAGAAGGGATAGAAAGAGAGACAAGGGAAAAATCTAATTTGAATCATTTCCCAGGACTGGGCTGCATTCAGTGTTCTGGCATACGAGACGTGGCCGATCATGTGACTAGGACTCCTAAAGGACCTACTTCTACCTTAGACCACTTCAGCTGCTCATGCAAACACAATGCATAGCCCTTTATTACAATATCAGATCACGATTGGGTGGAATTAAAATAATAGTTTATCCAGAAATTAAAAATGTGTCATTATTTACTTATCGTCATGTTGCACACTTGCCGTGGAATATGAAAGAATACTTTTGGAATCTTAATGCAGCTATTTTTTCATACAATAGTCTGTCAAGCTCCAAACCTCATAAAAGTGGTCCATATAACTTATTTGAAATCTTCTTAATTGAAACGATAGCCATATCGAGCGAAACTGAAATAATTTCATTATTCACCTATAATCTTCCACTCCAGTGAACCGTTAAATCGAGAACCATGGGAAAGTGAATGAATGAATCATGGATCAGTAGTCATTCAGTTAGAACTCAAGAACTGATTTGTGAATCAGATCAAATGGTTCAATTAAAAGAACAGGTTCAAAAGATGAACGATTCGTTCAAGTATCAAAATGAACAAGTTCAACTCGCTGATTCAATCCAGTCACAGGAGTTCTCAAGATAAAAGCTCACTGGAGTGGAAGATTATCACTGAATAATGACTTACATTTCAGTCTATAGACATTAGTCAGACTAGACACCATATTGAATTTAACATGGATGAAAACGAGGCTGTGAGGTATATACAGTAGTCTTTACAATGGCATGTATACATTTTCATAATCATTTTCACAACTCACAACTTTAAAACAGTTTTATAGAGTTTTTGTCTACTGAAAGCTTTTCAGAAAGACGTTTTGTCAGCTGAACAATCGGTATGATGTTAAACAACAGTACAATCCATTGAACGCACTGTACCTCTATCCCTCACAACTTTGCTTTCATTCCTGTCAAAGATTAAATGTAGTGCTACTCTGACTAAGGTCTATGCCTCACATGGCTTCAAAAGATTTGAAAAATACCATATGGACTATTTTAATTATGCTTTTAAAGGGATAGTTCACCGATAACTGAAAATTCTGTCATCATTTAGTCACCCTCAAGTTGTTCCAAACCTGTACAAACTACTTTCTTCTGTTGAACACAAAAGAAGATATTTTGAAGAATGTTGTTAACCAAACAGTCGACGGTAGCTACTGACTTCCATACCATGGAAAATATACTATAGAAGTCAATGGCTACCGTCAACTGTTTGGTTGTGAACATTCTTCAAAATATCTTCTTTTGTGTTTAACAGAAGAAAAGTACCTCATACGGGTTTGGAACAACTTGAGGATTAGGCTGATGATACACGGGGCAACTTTTTGAGCAATGTTGCCGTCAATGGGCAACCAGGTGAGACACAGGGCCCATGACCAATCTAAGATATCCAGATAAAAATTTGTTACCCATTCTCAAGTAACATTGCTCAAAAAAAGTTGCCCGGCAAAATTGCTCAAAAAGTTGCCCCATGTATCATTAGCCTTAGTAAATGATGACAGAATGTTCATTTTTGGGAGAACTATACCTTTAAGGGCTTTATGGATGTGGTCATTAAGATTCATTAAACTTCTGCCTCTTTGCTCCACTGAAAAAATAACAGCAAAAGGTTTGAAGTGACATGATACAGTGACAGAATTACACTTTTTTTTTTTTTAGGATCAACTAACCGTTCATTGAAAAAAAAAATCTGTAGAAGATTATGAGGGCTAAAGGCATTGTGGGTGAACGAGGAACACAAGCAGAAAGAGTGAAGTGGCGGGATGCATGATCAGATGTTGGTTAAAGTGGTGCAGGTGATCAGGCGCACAGTCAGTGTGCCTGGAAGGTTGTTGTCTTGACGACCACCCTTGTCTTTAAGGTAGACCATGTGCTGCTCTTGGCGGTCGTTAGGGTCACTAAAGAGGGTCACCTGACCCAGGAAGGTGTCAACAATCACATTCTTATTGTAGATCTGAGTTCGTCATGGAGCAGTCAGAAGGGTTAAGCAGGAGAAATAAGAGAAGAAAAACAGAAATAAGGTGAGAGGAACAGATCAGTGTACATACCAGTACAGGGAAGGAGATCTGTAGCAGTTTGTGGAAAGGACTGAAGGAGGAAGAGATGTAATTACATACTTCCAACTCACCTCGATGTGAATGCCTTCCTTTGGCTTTCTGCGGTAGAATATTCCTTTAACGTCAAAACTGGGGCAGCGTGTGTCTTTGTGCACGGGGGAGCGAACCTTCTCCCCCTCACAGGTGATGATCACATATGGGTCAGAGGCTAAAGAAAAAAGACATGAGACAGCAACACACTTTATATGATAGCGTTCAAAGCATGGATATGCTATCTCTACCAATGACACACTGCAAAAATATTTTTGTAATCAGTAATTTTGTTATCTAGTAAAAAAAAAAATGTAAACAACTTTTAACAAGATATTTCTATTTGACGTAAGAGTGTTATTCTTTATTCTTATGCTCACCAAGGCTGCATTTATTTGATCAAAAACACTGTAAAACAGTAATATTGTTAAATATTATTTCAATTTTTCTATTTGAATATATTTTAAAATGTAATTTATTTCTGTTATGGCAAAGCTGAATTTTCAGCAGGCAGGCATTACTCCAGTCTTCAGTGTCACATGATCCTTCAGAAAGTATTCTAATAGGCTGATTTGGTGCTCGAGAAACTTTTTATTTTTATTTTTTTATCAATGTTGAAAGCAGTTGTGATGCTTAATATTTTTGTGGAAACTGAGATACATTTTTCAGAATTTTTTGATGAATTGAAAGTAAAAAAAAACAGCAGTTAAATGAAATCTTTTGTAACATTATAAATATAATTACCACCACTTTTAATCAATAATGCACCCTTGCTGAATAAAAAAGTCTTACTGACCCCAAACTTTTGAACAGTAGTGTATATATATTTATATTTGATATATATTCACTGAAAACAATTCTAGAATAAATGTCTTGTTCGACAGATGATTAATGACAAAAATCCTTTTTGTAGTGCACCATAAAGAAACAAATACAATGCAAATGCACTGAAAACAGTCAAAGTGGAAATAAAAAATAGCTTGCACTGAACCTGAGTTCAGTTTCACCCAGTTCTCCCATCATTACTGTGTTTACATCACCACTGTGAATACCACCTGTTTACCACTGAGGCTAAGCAACAACTCGGGTGGAGAAAACACCAGTTCCCTTTCAGTCGGTCACTCTCGACGTCACGTGGTCATCCGACGTGACGTCTCCGTTCCCTCCTTCAGGGAACGAGGGTTACCATACGTAACCGAGACGTTTTCTTTGAACAACCAAACAAACTAAACTCCTACACCTTTCATTCATCATCATCAAAAAAACAAAACAAAACAAAAAAACAACTAACCTCCATAAAACTCCCTGCATTCATTTATTCTTTCACTTAAAGGGGTCATATGATGCTGCTAAAAAGAACATTATTTTGTGTATTTGGTGTAATGAAATGTGTTTATG